GGCCCGGGGGGGGAACCGGCACCAACGCGGCCACCAGTCAGATGGCAGGCGGCTATGCCTAAGCCACTAGTGCCATGGCCCACTGGGGCCGAAGCTGCCACTGGGTTGGACTGCAGGGTGGCCCTGCAAGCCCAGGGCCAGAGTCCTGCGTGGGGTCGGCCGGCAGGGACTGTGCGTGCTCCTCTTTGCTCCTCGGATGCAAGCTCCCACAATACTCCTAAGCATATGGCCTACGTCGGCTCCCACCTGGGCTGGCAAGAGGCCCCCAGCTGAGGCCTCCTCTCCATCCCCCTTATTCAGTGGAAGGTGACGGGGGATATGGGCTCTCACCAGCTCCACCTTGTCTTTAGAGAACTTCTCACCAGCACTAAACACACTAACAGAAGACTCTAGGCCCACAGCCCCTGACCTGCCATAGCATAGGCCTAATGAGCAACACGTATATCTCATAGTCTGTCCCAGGAGAGCGAAGCAAGCTCACACAACCGTTCTGATTCCAGCCCAGCCGCCCACAAGCCCTCGTGCCACCTGTTGGGAGATGCTTGTGGGAAGAGGGTTCTGATTTCTGACAGCATTGTCTTCCTTCCCTGCACTCGAGAAAGACTGGTTATTTAAAGCGAGTCAGTTTTAAGTGGCTTCTCAGTGATGAAAAGCCCCTCCAGGTCACCTCCCTTTCCCAAGTCCTTATCTGTAACATGCCCTTTGGGGACATCCGGCACATGGGACGTGGAGAAGGGAGTGAAGACCTTGGTTGGTGAGTTGTCATGTGGTTGGTGGTGACTTTGCTGTTTTTCTGTTTTTGTACAAAAATAAAGATGGAAAGCTTATTTGGAAAAGATGTTGGGAAACCAAGGTTGTAGGCGCTTAAAAAACTCTGGGAAGCTACAGGGTGAGAGCACACCAAGGTTCCAGGATGCCCAGCCCGGGCAGTTCAGGCTCGGGAGCGCCACCAGCCGGTGCTCTACCTGAGGTAAGTGACCGTACTTTCTGCCTGCTGTCTAAAAGGGTCTTGGTTTATGCCATCTGTCCCAGCATACGTGTAATAGCACTCCCTTATAGTCTCCAAAGTGTCCTAGTTTAATGACAGTCACCCTTGCTTTAGAAAGGATAGGTAGTCTGACCGAAGATTTCAATAATGGTGCTCCCTTGAAAGTCTGTAGTGTGGGGCCAGCAGGTGGTGTGGTGGTTGGGGTGCTGGACCCCACGTGGTTGACCATGGCTCGAATTCTGGACCTGGGCAGCTTGAACATCATGCTGGACGTGTGTGCGGGTATGTCCAAAGTCCCAGAAGGAGAATGGAGGAGACAGGAGAGGGTTATGGCCATCCCTCCTGGGGACGGTTCCTCACTACCCCTCACTGTTTCTCTCTCCAGCGAGTGTACATACCCCGGGAAGGTCTGTAATGCTTGGACGTGACACGGCCAAGGCACTGGCTGGGCTGATGCTCAGAGCGGGCTGACACAGCGGAGGGGAAAGCAGCTGAGTCCTGAGCTTATTTTTTCCAGCAACATTCTCTGAATCATAAGCCAAAGGTACTTCTAGGCACCCACAGGTGCCCCCATAGGGCACGTGCGTCTGACAGACAAGAACAGACAGTGAGAGGGAAAGTAAAACAATCACACTCCAGGGGGCACGGTCATGCCACAATCCCTTCTCCTCCACTCTCCCCCTGGGATTTTGGGCATGCACGCATATGTACCTGGCACTTGAACTATGGTAAGTCATCTGGGAGTCCAACACCTTAACCACTACGCCACCTGTTGGCCGTACCCACAAGTCCTTTGAACAAAACTGTGAACAATGAAAATGTAATTAGATTCCACTACTGTTGGCGAGCTACTCTATTACTATGGGGTGGGGGTTTCATCAGCTAGCCTGGAACAGGTCCAGTTTGTATTTATTGCTCTGGGTAAAATTTTTTTTTAAATTTTATTGTTATTATTATTCATTTTTAATCTGACCAGAGAGAGAGCGAGGGAAAGTGAGAAAGCAAGCCATCAGGTCTGGGATTTAAACCATGGTTGGCCACCTTAACCACCATGCCACCTGCTGGGCCCCTACCCTGGTTAAAAATAGTAACCTTTTTACTGTCAAATGTTTCAAGAGTTAGAATAATAAATTAGAAGTCTGTTCAGAGATTAAGCCATAAGAAAAGGAAGCAACCTATTCTGAGGCGTTAAGAGAAAATGCAGTCTGGCCCAGCAGGCAGCATGTTGGTTAAGGCATTGGATCCCACATGGCCGATGCTGCAGTTCGAGTTCTGGACAGGGCAGCCTGAAAAACACACCAGGCATGTGTGTGTGCGCGTGCCCCAAATCCTAGGAGGATTAAAGGCAGGAGATTGTGGCATGGCCATCCCCCCAGGGTGTGATTTCTCACTTTCCCTGTGTCTCTTACAATCCCTGTAGCAAAAAAAAAAGAAAGAAAGAAAGAAAGGAAGGAAGGAAGGAAGGAAGGAAGAAAACACAATCCTAGGGAAGTTGGTGCTCATCTCTCTTACTAGGGTCTCTGACACCCGAAACACAGCCTGTTTCAAGGGAGACATGAACATGGTTGGCCAATCTTGACTACAGTGGGGGTGAATACTGCTTTCCATGGGTGTAGTCCTAAGCGATAAAAAAAATTATCCCTATTGGGACCAGCAGATGGCGTAATGGTTACATCGCTGGACTCCCATGTAGATGACTGAGGTTTGAGTCCTGGACCCAGTGGTTTAAAACTCATGCCAGGCACATGTGCGTGTGTGCCTGAAATCCCAAGAGGCGACTGGAAGAGAAGGGATTGTGGCATGGCCATCCTCACTAGGGGGTAATTTCTTGCTTTCTGTTTGTGTCTGTCTTTCTGGTGAGCGTATATAACCTATAGCAAAAAAAAAAAAATTCTCAAAAAATTTACCTTCATCTCTTGAGGCTGGGGCAGAACATATATGTGTGCAAGGGGGTGAGGAGAGAGAGGAGTTGGGAGAGAGAGAGAGGGAGAGAGAGAGGGAGAGAGGGGGAGAGGGGG